GTAGCGTCTTGGTCGTGCATGTTCTTGTTTGATTGTTGCACGATCAATTGGTTCAACTCTAGGTCTACGGTTGGTCGGGCATGTTCTTGTTTGATTGTTGTGCGATCAATCGGGCAGGCATGATCTGGACCAGAAAACGTTGCATTCTGGTGTGTTTCGGGTGAAGCTGGCCGGACGGGAGTGTTAGCCTTAACAGGGGCGGTGTTGTGTGATTCGAGGTCGACTACGTGTTAGTGGGGGAGAATTATAACGCCCGTGAACCAAAATGTGTATTTTTGGTGGTGTGTCGATCGACACACGTGTTTGGACTCGCGAGGAGTCGGGTTCTGGGTGTTGCGTCGATAGACACAAGTGTTGTGCGTCGATCGACGCAAGTTGAAATTGAACCGTATGGTTCGATTTTTGATCGCTCGGTTTGGCGATCGGTTTAGGAAACCCTAGGGTTCCATTATATAAGCGTGGAGATCGTGTTTTGTGGCTCTTTTGAGGATGTTCCATTATATAAGAGTTAGAGAGAATTGTGAGAGAGGTGACTTTTTAGAGAGAAAAACAGTTCTGTCCGATTTTAGAAGGGAAGACAAACGGCTGGGAAGATCGGATCGGATTAGAGGGTTATATTAGGTTATTTTGTGGTGGTGTGATTTGGTATTGAAAAAAAGGTTTTATAAGATTTGATCCTTTTGTTTTGCAGCTTCCACATCATCATGAAGATCATCTTCATTTGCATATTCTGTTAAGTGAAATACTGCATCTTCAACTTATTCAATTTTTTCTTCAAAAAATATTATTCAACTAATTAACCCATTAATTAATACAAACTCAAATATTATTTAAATTGAAGCACTCTGCACGAAGAAATATGCCTTCTTCTTAACGAAAATACACTATATATTATTTGAGAAATGATTTTCGAAAAACAATTATGACGTGCTACAAATTTATTATGACATGGTAAATGTGAATCATAACAACATATTTTACAAAATTTTCTTTAACTAAATTTTATATTTCTTTTTATAAATAAATTATAAGAATTTTCAATCAATATTTAATAAAATTTTCTTTTTTCATTCAAAAAATATTTAAAAATTAATTTGTGTCACAACAAAATTTGAGAACACTTTTTTATATAAATATATTTTTACTCAAATATATAATAAAGACTTAACAATTTCTTAAAGAGATTTTAATGTGTTTCGTAAGAAAATTTCTAAATTTATTAAAACCAATATATGTATTAAAAATAAAACAATTTATAACACAAGACAATTTGAAAATAACTAATAATTTAAGATAAATTGTATATAAAATTTGATATCTTTATATCAAATGTATTTATATTTCACTTGTAAAATCAACGACGACATATTTTTACATGCTAATATTTAAAAGCTAATATTCAAATCTTACATTTAAAAAAACATATTAACATTTTCAAATTTAATGTTTGATAAAAAAGACCACTATGAAAATTTTAATCTGAAATTAAAAAAAAAAGAAAATTTATAAGAAATGCCACTTTTGTATTATTTATTTATTATTTATGGTTGGGTTAACTATGTTGTATTAGAGTTTAGTTTTGAGGGTTTAAGATATGTTAGGAGTCAAAACATTTGTTTGGGTTTAGAATTTTAAGATTTGGACATTAAAATCTATAATTAGTGGCATTTTTTCTAATAGACATCCCATTGTGACATATTTGCAAAGTGGCACACCAAATGTAGTATTTTGCAATTGTTCTAATAAAAAAAGGTCAACCCATAGTAAATTGTTCAATGAATGAAAATGATCTCTAACGATAACAAAAATAGAAAACAAAGAAAGTTTGAAAAATAAAAAAAGAGAAAAAGGTAGAGTACTTGGTTTATGTTGCATGAAAAGTTTATTAATTTGTTTTGTTAACGAGGAGTTGCTCATAATAATCTTCAAATATTCGATGTCGAATCTAGTTTTTATTCAAAATTCAATGTGGAGAGAATGATTTCAAAAAAAATGATAGGTTTAATATTTTATGAGAGGAATCTCAACTTTTTATAATAGATTGTGCACTCCAATG